GGATGGATGGATGGATGATGGATGGATGGATGATGGATGGATGGATGGATGGATGGATGATGGATGGATGGATGATGTACGGTTGGATGTTGACTTGATGCTAAGATAAAGGTGTGTTGCTGCTCTGTTCATTATTGATTATTGATTTTGGTTGAACTGTTTGTATTCGTCCTTCTGGATAGACAGGAAGTGACCCTGTTGGATCCGAGCTCTCTGATTGGCCAGCCAGCCTCAGCCAGAACCAATCAAATCCAATCTTCTTGTTAGAAATAAGTGGACATCTTAATGAACCCGCCTCTGCTTGTTGAGCTCCCATCCGTCGTTCCGTTGCCACTGAAACCCGTCGCCGCCCGGGTCCCAGCTGCTCATACAGACCATAATAACCAAGACGGATCACCAGAGAGCGAGGCGGAGACGCGCCGCGCACAACCAATCGGACGGACACGCCACCGGATCGCTTGACGCGCAAAAATAAACGCATGCAGATACGAACGAAGCCGCCATGATGGATGGCTGCCTGAGTCCGACACAAGCAGCGTTACCGCAGCGACCGCCTCCTCCGCCCTCGCGCTCACGTGTCATCAATTTCCAGCGTGAGAGACGCGAGGAGGGAGGGAGGCACGAGGCAGGAAGGAGTCATTAATTACCAGGAAGTGCTGGCGAGGCAGCGGCGCACCTGTACGCCAGCTGACACACGCACACACACACACACACACACACACACACACACACACACACACACACACACACACACACACACACACACACACACACACACTCCTGAGGGAGTCGGACCCGGAGGCTGCTGCTGCTGCACGGAGAAAACCAGCCGAGACCGAGAAGCTGTGGAGGTTTTCTGGTCAATAAAAGATTTTAATTCAGAAAAACTTTGGAAAAAACATGAAAAATGGAGAAATGCTTTGATTCCGCTCACAGTGCAAAGCGCTAGCTGGGCTAACAGCTAACAGTCCTCCAGTAAACACCAGGAAGTGTCTTGTTGTCCTGAGATTTACTGGACACTGTAAAACTACAACATACAAAAACTGACACCTTACATTAATGTTACAATTATTAGCATTGATACACAACAAAAATATTCAATATTTGATTTTTCATGAAAAGAAGATCTAACATCACCAATTAGATGAACGTGCTTACATATTTTCAACCTTAAAAATCAAACATGTTGATCTTTTGCTATTGGACACTTTTCAAAATGGCCGCCATTTTTGACCTGGAGAATATGTTTCTACTAAAATCAGCAGTTCTTGTTGTCAGTGGTGAGCACAGCTAAAGTTACACAAGAATAATAGCTTAGCTCATGCTAAAGCGCTAAACACAAAAAATTACAGAAACTAACATGAAATATTTAACTGAAGCTCTTGCTGCGCTGCTATTATCATTCAACATTAACAGAAGCTAATATTTTCATCTGATCTGCTGAAAACATAAAATACTGAAGCTATTGCTAAACTGTTAAATTCATTTTTTAAAATAGAATAAGCTAACATTCAGCTATTAGCTATTAGAAAAATTAATTAAAGCTAACACTGACCTGCTAATCGCCTAAAATAATTGCAGGATGCTAACGAACAAGAACCAATTTCAGCTCTTCAGCCTGACATTCAGACTCTTCATTTCCTTCTAAATAAGTAAAAAACGTTTTTAAAACAGAAACATTTCCATGTGGATAAAACATTCCTCATTAGCTTGTAGCAGAACGCCTTTTTATGTTTGTGATGGTAGGACAGAAAATGATTTTTTTTGTTTCTAGTGTAAATATTTAGTTCATTTGACAGAAAAAACTAGAAAACTTTTCAGCAAAGATTTAAGCTTCTTTCAGACAAAACTTAAAATTGATTTTAAAAATGTTATTTAAACTGACAGATTATTTCACTTCTAACTTGGTAAAATGTCTTCTTATAAAAGGATGTGGTGCTTTTTAAACTCCATATTAAGGTGTCATTAATATAAAACAAGCTTCTGTGTTTTGCTGACGTTACTTTGGTTTTATTGGAAGGAAGTAAACGACAATCCAGTGAAAGGTTTTGTGTTTTTGCAGTGCGCTTCTTGTCTTAAAACCAATGACCTCTGAGTCACTGATTTTCCTCCAGAATTGTTCTGGACTTCCCCACATCATGACGCAGCCTCCACCGTGCCTCGCCAGGGCCGATGCCGTGTTTTCGAGCTGCTGCTGTGTTTCCGATCTAGAAGCATGCAGTGCAGGTAACGAGTCGGGCCAGACGGGCGACCTCCCGCCTCGGCGACCCCGTCTAGTTGCTGTGGAGACCTGGCTTGACGCTTGGGCTTTTCTGCAGGAGAAAAGAAAGAAAGGCGACACAATCACCGAGACCCTTTTTGTTTTAGTGGGAACCTCCTTTTAGCCCCGATGGCGGGCGCGCAGCGAGCCCCACCGGGGCGGCGGGAACACTGCCTGACTGTGCGCCTTTGTGTCTGGCTGACTTTATTTAAGACAAGGGCCCTTTTGTTTTAGGGCCCCGGGGCCGAGGGCAGCCCTGTAATTGGCCTACTTAGGCCCTGCTTAGCATGAGAAAAGTCTGCGCTAACTTTTTTGTTTTCAGACGGAACAGGTTCGCTGATGAGAATTCAGATCAGGAGGAGAGAGAAAGAGAAAACACCCTCCCTCCTCCGCGCCCGGAGTCTAAACACACTCCTCCGCCTAAAACACACCACACGCTAATTACTTAACGAGGAGCTGGGAAAAAAACATGTCAGAGGAGTCTATTTACGGGCGGAGGGAGAGGCGGCTTCTTTTTCACCTCCAACAAACTTTCTGCGCCACTTTGAATGAAAAAAGAAAACCCGTCTCTGCCTGAATCGGCCCAGATGCCACTTGTTGCTGCGGAAATCACTGAACTTAATTAGCGGGACAATGTGTGTGTGTGTGTGTGTGTGTGTGTGTGTGTGTGTGTGTGTGTGTGTGTGTGTGTGTGTGTGGGAGACAGAGGGAGCGCTGTGAGAGCGCTGTGAGGCGTAAACAGAGCCGCGGCTCAGAGTCGCAGTCGGTTTGAGTCGGGAGGTGAACGTCATGGTTCTGCTGGGTCCAGGTAGGATCGGCCTGAAAACTCTTTCTGGGTTTATTTCGGTTTGTTTCTGATCCGGTCCAGATATTCACACAGACCTGAAACTGTACCAGGAGTACGGAGCTAGAATGGAGGTTTAACCTGCAGTAAGTTCTCCAATAACTTTTAATCCAGTTTATTTCAAGGTCTGTAATTAATCAATGAATCAAAATTGATTGGAAAGAATCGTGTATTCTGCAAATCTTATCAAGTATTTTTAGTTGGAATTACACTTTTTTTAATTTTATTTTTGCATAAATTTTAAGAAAGTGTTTACTGAAAAGAAGCTCAAATTTCTTCCTGAAAAATTACAAACAAGTTTATTTTTTCTTATTTTAAGTGTATTAAGATATTTAGATTAGAACCTAAAATAAAAATATTTGGTCAGATTTTGTGTTTTTGCAGTTTATAAACAAAATAAGAATTGATAAGTTATTGAATAAATGATGCTACTAAAGCTTTTCCACAGTTGCAGGAAGTCCTGATCATTCATTTACAAATGTGGAGGCTGACATTAGCATTAGCTGCTACCTGCTTAGCATTCAGATGCTAGTTTAGGCTATCGTAGCTTCACTGATAGGCTAACTTCTTTTAGCACAACTCAAACACAACAATAATCTCTTCCAGCGACAGTCGGATCGATTTTTGAATCAGAAATGAAAATCTAGTGGACCAGAGAAGGCGTTGAAGTTTGAGCAGCAGATTTTCAGCCGTACCGAAAACACAGAAATATTTTTTTTATTTTATGTTATTAAGCAACATTTTACAGTGCAGTATCCTACAGTATTATTTATGTTAATAAATAATACTGTAGGATACCATTTATTTATTATGTTAATAAATGTTGTGAATGTGAGGTTTTAAAAGCTACTCGCTGTCCTGCATTGTATAGCAAACCCATTTGTGATTTAATTTGAAAATTAGTTCCAAGTCAGTGAGAACATTTTTCTGACCAGAAATTTTGTTTTGACTCTGAAGACTCAGCAGTGAAATCAAAGACAGACTGAGCTTTTTTTCAATTTTTTCAAAGAGGTTTCAATCAATCACTCAATCAATGGAAGAGCTTCCAGTGAACTTATTAGTGTGTGTAAAATATGCATCAATAGGTATTAATGAGATACAGCATGACTTTGTGGTGGTTTGATGAAAAATTAGCTTTGCCAAAGTCTGGAAGAACAAAGAAAACATTCAGGATGGTGTCCAACATGTGGCCCAGAGGCCATTTAGAGGCCTTGAAATGATTCTCGCAGCGGTCCAAGTGATGCTAAGAGACGTTTAGCTGAAAAACCTGGAGGGAAGTTTGGATATTGTTGTGATTTCAATGCTTGTAATGATAAATTCAAACTTCCAGTTCTATTTTTTTTTTTTTTGGTTCTGTTTTAGATAAATAAGTCAAAACTAGGCGGATGCAGAATGTTTTTGTTTATTTTGAATAAAAACTTCATAAAGAAGAAATTCTTGTTCTGTTAATTCAGATCTAGAATCTGAACCGGAGACGCTGTGAGCTCATATATCCACCTTAACAATCAGTTGTTGTGTTGAGAGTTTACATCTGATAATAAAAAACACATCTGACTCATTGTGCTTGAGTATGGAAGGCCAAGCGTGCCAAAAATCTGTGAAATGTCATTTGAATGTAAAGTATGTTATTAACAGGCAAACTGTTGATTTCCAGTCTGAAAAACCTTGAACATGAGATTCCTAGTTTTAGTTTGTTGTGTGGAGGTTCAGTGAAGTGCTTGACTTAGATCTGAAATTTATATCATTTTGAGCAGATTGTTCCTTTAATTATTTATAATTATTTCGTCAATGGTGTCATTTTAAATCATCCAATGCTAATAATTAGCATAATGATGCTAATGAGTGTGTTTCTGTGGTTCTGCTGTGTTTCCGGTCGCCCGCCTCTCCTGCCCCCAGGCGGTTCTGGGCGGCGAGCTGGCGATGGGCAGCCCCAGCGCGGCGTCGCCCACCAAGCCGGCGGGTCAGTACTACCAGCACTACGGGTCCAACCCGCGCAGGAGAGCGCTGCACATGGACGCCATGGGTGAGCACAGCTGCACCTGCTCGTTTGTCTACAGCAAAAGATTTTTCATTTCATTTTTCTTTGAAACATGACAGAGGTTTCCAACATGAGGTTCTCAGCCCCAGTGTGGACCTGAGGTTTCTGATTAATGAGATGTTTTTATTTTTTTACTCTTGTCTTTAAATTTATCGACATGTTGATAAATGGAGGCATTAAATGTTTTTCAGCTTTATTACGCTGACACTTTTGCAATCATTTTTATTTTTTATAAATAAATACGTAGAACTAATTATATAAAACCTCGTTTTAAATTAAATCCGTATTAACTCGCTTCATAATGATAAGAACAGCTTTTTTGCTTTATTTAATGTTAAATACAGAACTAATTTCAATATTCAGATTGTTAGGATATTCTTATTTTCATTATTTAACATTTAATTTTATATAATTGAATGAAATAAAATGATTTTATATTATATTTTTGTCTCTTTCTTTGCAAATTCATAAATAATCTCCACATACAGAGATTATTTAATAATTTGCAGAGTAATAATTGTACATAAATTTGCTTAGTTTTTTTTATATGCTAACAGTGTAGTAACTGTTCATTTTTAATTGAATAAAATTTTAATTACTCTCTAATAAAAAAAATAAAGTAATGGGAGCGTAGATTTCCTGTTCAGTGCAGCTTAAATTGTGTTTTTTTATTTTTTTAACCTGAATGCTGAACATAAAACATTTCTTTTGTCGAAATGTGTCACTCTGGTTGTTGATGTAAAAATATTTTTGCCGTCCTGATTTAAATATCTACGGCCAATCAGTGAGCGGCGAACATCTGGCTGAAACGGAGACGAATCGCATTTGGTTCGATCGCTTTAAAAACAGGACATAACGAAAACCTTGGGGGCTTTCAGCCTTCAGACAATACACACACACACGCACACACACACACACACACACACACACACACACACACACACACACACACACACACACACACACACACACACACACACACACACACACACACACACACACACACACACACACACACACACAGCTTATTCTCCCATCATAGCTTTACCTTCTGAATTAATCTCTCTATCTCCTGCCTGTTTTTGTGCTGCTCTCTCTATCTCCTGCCTGTTTTTGTGCTGCTCTCTCTATCTCCTGCCTGTTTTTGTGCTGCTCTCTCTATCTCCTGCCTGTTTTTGTGCTGCTCTCTGTAGCTCCTGCGTGTTTTCCTCTGTAGCGTCTTTCTGAGCTTCGCTCCTGTTGGCAGGAAGTGGAATCGCCTCCTAAACTCGCCTTTTCTCGTTTTGTGTCTCTTGCAGAAGTCCACACAAAAAAGTGCGGAAGGTCCCTCCCGGCTTGCCGTCCTCAGTAAGTGATGCTGGTTTTTGGTCAGTAAAAATTGCTGATGTTTTCTTTGATTTGTGGGATTAAAGGATTAATGTCCCTGCTGGGCTTCCGTATGGACAAAGTGATGATGATGATGATGATGATTCTCTGGTTTCAAGGCGTTTTGTTGAATTATGACCTGCAGTTTGTTTATAAATAACTCTGGGCGTTAATAGTCGGCAAATGTTTCATTATAGTTTTGTTTATTAGGGTTTGTTTGTTTGTTGTTTTTTGCAATTAATTTAATTTAAACACAAATTATTTTGCAGTTTCTCCATCCAACTTTTATACTTTCACAGTTTTAAAGTTATTGAAGTTTCTCTTTAAATTATTTTTAGTTCATTTGTTCATTTTTATGGCCAACATTTAAAAGTATTAATAGTTTTTATAGTTACTTATGTTTTTCCTTTTCGCACTTGTTGTGATTTAAAGTTTTCTTTTTATGGATTTTATTGTTTTAATGTTTTTGTCAGTCGGTACTTTTCAAATATTTTAACTTTCTTTTATTTTTTTACAGATTTGACAGTTTTTATAGCCTGTAATTGTAGCGATTGCTACATTTTATTACATTTTACTTATTTAGAAGTCAGAAGACAAAACATTTACAGCTATTTTAATTTTTTTCACACCTTCCAGTTATTATAATCAGTGTTTTTCTGACAGTTGCAGTTTTTTCCTGTAGTTTATGTTTTCTTTGTGTTGATCCATTTCTCCTCGCTGGGTTCTTCAGCTCCAGTCTTGCGTTGTTTGGCTGTCTCTGCGTTTAAACCTGGCTGCTGCTGAAGCCTCTGGGTTCCATGTTTGCTGTTTTTGCTGCTGTTTGGTTTTAGATCTGAATCATTTCTTTAATATCTCAGCCTTTGTGATGAAGTTGGCAGTTCCTTCCTCTCGGATCGCTCGCCGCTCGGGTCTTTGCTCGTTAACGATGCGGCGTGTCGGCGGGGGTCCGTTTTGCCCTTCCTTCCTTCGGCGGAGGACAGGAAGAGAAAGACGAGTGCGACCTGAAGCGTCCGGCTCAGAGGTCGGTTCTTCCGTCAGTAAATCCTGATGAAACGTTTCTGCGGTTTCTCTGGACGATCTGTGGCCTCTTGCATGTGCAGCTGCGTTTTTCTTCCTGGTTCTTCCTCCACTGATCGTTGCTGGTGGCGAACAGTTTGGCTGTTGACGGCGTTGTGGATCGGTCCGGGCCGCCGTCGCCCGGCTTCCCGCCGGTTTGTTGGCAGGCGGCGCCGCTTTGCTGTGCAGAGGAGCAGAAAATGAAGCCGAAGCTTTGCAGGGTTTAAGTTGGTTCTGTAGAGCCGCCGGTTCTGGTTTCATAATCACCGCTCTGTTTTCTGTGATTTCTTTTTTAAGAAGCAGAAGAAGAAGAAGAGCTGCTAACTCTGAACACCAAACCTCTAAAACACAAACTTCCAGAAACATCTTGTTTCTGTCTGTCATCACAGAAAATATAAAAACTTTGTGACTTTCTGTTGAGTAAATTCATCAAAACTCAACTTTAAAATGCCGATTATTTCTGTTTATAAAACAGAGTAAACAGCTGATATTGATCTGATATTCACCAGCAGTTTCAGCGCCACGAGCTGAAAATGTAGCTACGCTAACTCTAATCATGAATATTAACTCTGCTAACACTGAAATGCTAAACCAATACAGTGCTTAGTTGACGCTAACGCTATATAGTAACATGGTATTTAGTGGAAGCTAAATACCAGACGTTAAAAGACGTTAAAATCCATAAAGAAGTATTTTAACGTCTTTTAATTTGACTGCATTTATTTTAGTCTAAGCAGTCGAGTTTAGCTACTGATTGCTACCAGCTGTACTCACCGTTTGCAATAGAGTAAAGTTACCATTAGCGATCTAGAATACTTAATGTTAGCTGGTTAGTGTAAGTATCAACACCAAGCTTGTATGCTAACTGTTTGCAGTCTATTACAGTTAGCTTTAGCAGCCAAGTATAGCGAATGTTAGCTGCCAATGTACTGTACTCATTGTTGGCAAGGCTGCATATTTATCATGAGCAAGTTACTGCTATCTAGCATTGCAACTTATTGTTACAACATCATATACTCACTGTTAGCAATCTAATATAGTTAGCTTGAGCTACCTAGCATTCTTACTTCTTGCGACCAATCAAACTAAATGCTAGTAATATATGCACTGTTGGCAATCTAGTGCAGTTACTTTTAGCTACCAAGTAAGCTAACTTTTAGCTACTAGCCATGCTAATTGTTAAAAACATAATATTAAAATGTTTACTGTTAGCTACCAGCTTTACTAATTGATAGCAGTGTAGCTAACAGTTAGCTATTGAATATGCTAACTGTTAGCTACAAACATTATGAGCTGTGTTGTGAATTGCTGCTCATAATGTTTCTGAGCCTGTGCTAACAGTTAGCAGTTGTTGGAGTAGAAATAAATTGTTATATTCTGATTAAATGATTTAAGTTGTTTGTTGTGTTTTAGGTCCAACTCTGTTTCCTTTAGCCTCTTTCTCATGTTTTTAGTGACTCTTTAGCTCCGTTCCTCTATTTTCTAATTAACATGAGAAAAATTCACATATATTTTGTTGATTTCTTCATCTAAATCTTTAGCTTTAGTCGTATTTTGGACGATTATATTTGGCTTGAAGGTATTTATAGGAGATTTGATGTAGACAGGAGCGTATTAGTCGTCTGATTTTGCTCATTTTTCGGTTTCTCTGTGATATTCGACGTCCTGATGGCTGCAGAACTTTACAGCTTCGTGTTTTTATTGTTTTATGGGTTAGGTACGTTTCCTTTGTGCTGAAGCCCTCCCCCTCTGTTATTCCGGCGCATTAAGAGAATAGGAACAGACATTTTCTCTGCACATCTCTTCCATTTGCATGATTACACACAAGTGTTATTTAAGTTGTTTTCCTCATTGTTGTGTTGCCCTCCCATATGCTCCATTTAAGGGGAAAACTCTTGTCTCTATTTCACATCAACCGCAGACAAAATGGCTCTTTTTGCTTTAATTAATTCATTTCTGTCTCTCTTTTTCTCCCCGTCTCCCTGCGCTGCAAGTTTGTTATTGTTGTTTCTCAAATTTAGTTTGCTGAGCTGATGATTTACTTTGAGAAACAATTAAACGTCACTTGAGAGGAGAGCGTGGGACGTCTTTGTAATCAAAAGAAAATTAGGCATCAGTTGCTAACATTAGCAGGTTGCAGAGTGTTTCTTTGTTTTGTTTTTTTTCCGTTAGATATCATTGTTTTGGTTAATTTGTTGTCCGCGCTGATAAAGTCTGCAGCTCTTCCTCTGAGCTTTGCTAATGTCTGAACGATGGAGGAAATCCAGATAAATATGTCAGAAAATGAGCCGTAAAAATGAAGCTATTAAAGAGAAAACAGATCAACTGATAAACGGCATCAGGTGGCCTCCCATTGCACCTTCATTTTATTCATTTGCAGGAGTAATAATGTAAAATCACTGCAGGTTTTTGTATAAATACGACATCAATGCACTGAAACATAATTCATAAAATTCAATTTATTTCTTTGTTGATTTTTAATCAGTTCTAAACACAAAAATATAAAATCCACATGAATAACAGAGAAATTAAATTCCTCCTGCACTTTACGTCCAAAATCAGGAAAATAAATAAAATTACATTTAAAAAAGACTCAAATGCTTTTTGTCTGATTTGTTCTCTCATCTTCTTTTTATTTTATCTTTATCAAATTAAACTTTGTCATTAAATCCAAAGTCAATACATCAAAAGAGGCCAAATAAATGTGAAATAATAATAACAATGAAAGTTATTAAAATAAAAATCAAGCAATTATACTTGATTTTTGAATTATTTAGAATAAATTTTATTTAGTTTCCACATATTTTCAGGTTTCATTGAACAAATTTATTCAGTTTATAAGAGAAAGATTTGAGTCATTTCATATTAAAACTATGTTCATTATTTATTAGTATAATCAGTTAAATTAGGAGCAAAGTCGGTTTTTCAGTAAAAGTCTCTGCTTGTTATAAAAACAGGAACTTTGTGATGTAATTAATGTTTCCTATTGCAAGTAAAATTCTGTTCTGATGTTAAAGTTGTTACTTTAATCAGGGCAAAGTGGTTAAAAATAAAAAGTTTGGGGGCCACAAACGGCCCGCGCGCCTCATGTTGAACACCTACAGTAACAGCTCTGGAGTCCAATTATTATTTCTGTTGTTTGTTTTTGTACCAGAATAAATGAGTTTTAATTTCAGCAGGTTATTAACTCTGGACTCTGTTTCCTTTCTGTTGTGGAGGAAACGTTTCCGTCTGACCCAGAGCGGCCGTCCTGAACCATCCGCCGCCGCCGCCCGTCTCTGAGCGGCTACTTCCTGCCTCGGCGGCGCCCCCTCCCTCCACGCCTCAGATGTGGTTTTGTTTAAAGTTGACAGCGTTAATTAAATTAAGCCGGTCTTGCAGAAGGCGCAGTAGGAGAGCCGGCGGTCCCCGGTGGGCCGTGGGCGGATCAGGACCGGGGGCAGTGCAGTTCGGTGAGCCGCACTGCCCCCTGCAGGCCGCCCCCGGGACAGCAGCAGCGCTCTGCAGAGCAGATGAGTCTGAAGAGACGTTTCCAGTCTGAGCTGCAGTTTGGGTTTTCCTCCCGACTCCCAGCGGATCCGGTTGGATCTGAGGTCCGTTCTTCCACTGCGCGCCGGATTGTTGTGCAGAAACAGGAAGAGGAATTTCGAGCAGCTTATTGTTGACTGAATCATGTGGCTTCCTGTTATTCCTGCCCGAGACTCGCTGAACGGTTTCAGTCCCAGGCCCAGTTCATGCTGCTGCACGGATGAGGTCACACTGTTTATTAAAATGGGAGTTTGGCAGAAAATGCTGATAGGCAGAAATATAACATGATTTAAAATAAAATTATGGAAAATACTAATTTAATAATTGCAATCTAAAAGTACAACTACAAGCAATTTATTCTGAATTAATTGTTAAAATTAAATTCTATTTTTTTTATCTTTT